CCCGAGAGCCGGCAAGCGGTCACGTGTATCGGTACATCGGTCCTGCGCAGACACGCGGTGGAGACGAGCACTACAATCGCGAAACTTGAATCACATTCAACTTCTCGATCTCGATTCTCATAATCAAGAATCGAAACTTGGAACTTCACCATACTCAAGATCATTCACGATTGGCCAAGCCCATTCAGAAGCGACTATCGCGAACAAGTCCTGCTGCAATCCACTTTGTGTTTGGGGGAGTATTGACTCGTGACTATTCAGTAAACTTCGGCAGTCGGCTCAGCATCACATTCCAGCTCGCCTCGTGTGTCATGAGCCGCGATTTGAAGCACAGCACTCAAGGCTCCGAAAGCTGAAGGCCAAAGTACGTCGAAGACCAATCTAAATCAAGACTTGAGCTTGCAAGACGCCACCTAGTTCCACAATTAACTGTACATCGCTTGCGAACGACCAAGGCTGCGACAGGCCGCTCCAAAACATTACGGAAAGTGAATGACAGGATGTGCTGTTGTGCAGGCAAAGGACGTGTTGATGCCGCCGACCACATGAGGTGAGGCTTGCTGCGGCCCGGGTCACTTGTGGTCGTGAGTCGTGATTGCTTATTCATGGGCAAAGCAAGTTCGACCATGGCAACCGACCCATGAATCATCACAACATTTTGCTTCTTCCATCTTTGCTCGCTCGACAGGTCCCAAAGTTCGTTGAGCTCCAGTTGATCGCGCTGCAGCAGCGAGCACGCCTCTTGCCTGCGTGTCACGACGGGTGCTAAGCAGCGAGCCCCTTGACCCCTTCACATCATCCCAACGGGATCATATGTGCATGACGTACGCACTCAAAGACTGCATGGAGGAGGTTGACCGGACGTGCGCCGTGTATGAGGCAAGTAACTCAAGGTCCCCGTCCCCGGGTGCGTGACGGTGCAAGCTTGAATGTCGAATTGGAAGCCACTCGTGACTCCAAAATTCGCGGAAGCAATCACAGCTACGTGAACGTGAGCACTGAGCACAGGTCTCATGTTTAAAGGTACAGCCACACTCAAGACTTCTAGTCAAGAGTCCTCCACTCGTGCGGAAAAATTGTTCACTAGAGTCAAAATTCTATTCGCAACGGTGTAATTCGTTTGGGTTGCCATTCAAATGGTGAATGTGAGCAGATGAACAAGATCTGCTGCGATTGACGTCCGGTGGCGGTGACATGTACAGCACACAGAGCAGACGGTGATGACCCTTCAATCACATTCACGATTTGGATTGCTGCCGATCGGGCTTTGAGTCTGGCCCGTCCGTCGGGATGACGCTAGACGCAGCTGATGGAAACTCCGCTCTGCGTGCCGAAGCCACACAACACCCAAGCCCTCCGCTACTGTACAATTGGGAGGCGCGCGCCAAACCTGTCTCAATCTTGAGTTAAAGCTAGGCTAGGCGGTAATACAGCAGCGCCGCGACAAACATTCTAATTTGTATTGGTTGTATGGACGATTGTGATTTGGGATTTGATTGGGGCCTGAGGTGGAGGATGACTAACCCTTGACACCGTGATTTACGTCGCTTTGCAAGCGCTTTTCGAGCGACCAGCAGAATTAAGAATCTGGCATCAAATTTGCGGTTGCTCGTGACTGGCTACAGCTGCTGAGCTGACCAGGGAGGCAGGACTTGCGACCGGGTGCTCCCAAACCAACGGGAAGTGCTCCACCGCCCCGGTGCAAATTTTTGAGTGCGTTGGCATATACAACAGTCATGACTACATGCGATCTGAGAGTCGGTGTATGTGTCTGTCCGAGTGTCCTACCTTCGATCCACAAGTCTTTCCATTGCGTCTGTGCCTGATATACCAACTTCGTTGCACATGGCGCAGCAGGTCAATCACAAATTGGAACTGAGACTGCAGGCGAGACTCTAGACTCCTCGCTGTCAAAAAGGCACGAAGAGGAGGAGGAGCACGCGACAAGGAGGAGGAGCACGCGACAAGGAGGAGGAGCACGCGACAAGCTGCTGTCCTGCGAGCTGCACATCGCCCCTCTTCAAGCGCGATTAGGCATGGGTGCCGGCCGTCCGCAAACGTGCTCAAGTGCGTTCCTTCGCGATTTGAACAATCGTGAATAATCACGAACGAACCTTCTTCGCGTGCTTGCCATCGCATCGCATGGAACGCACAAGAAGCGCCCGGGAGGGCTTCCCGTCTGTTGCTTCGCATGCATGCATGCACCCTGGCGGAGATCCTGCAACCGCGAAGTGCAAGCCTTGCTCCTGCTGCTCGCTCGCGGTCCGCTCGAACAAGTCAAAAGTCAAATTTGACCGCAGCAAGCCGTTTGGAGTTTTTGAGTGAGAGTGCCACGATTTATTCACGACGTTGCCATTGGGCTCACGATGGTGCCCATCAGCTCTCTCGTCGCTTCCCTGAAGCATCAGCGACGACTGCATGCTCGACGCGGTCTGATCAGGCTGTGGAGTTGTTCTGCTGCGAAAGGGGAGCGGCCGTCTCACCCTTTACTGTAACGG